GGAACGCTGAAACAACAAACGTGACCCGTGTGACAGTATCGTTGTTCAATCAAATCGAGACGGATATACATTATGGGGCCGATGGATGCAATCAACGCGGTTATTGAGCGGCAAATTGACGTATGCGCTTGCTGACAAGCGGATGCCAACGAAGACCCAAGGATTTAAAGAAAAGAAGGTGCTCTTGCGGTAATGATCAAGGGAAGTGTTTTCTGTATCAGCCTGCAGACGGGCCTCCATCCGGAGATGCATTTCTGTGTCTGGAAGATGCGACGAAGGGCTTCTTTCACGAGGTTCATCAGTGTAAATGCGTCGAAGGGAATCTATCACTGGACGTTTTCGAGCAAGAGCGGTTGAAGGCTGCTGGACCTATTCATCTTATATTGCACGAGCCTAGTGACGGTTGACCTATGGTTGCTGCCGAACTCCGCATTTGTTGATGCCACCTGCTGGGAAGCGTACTACGGTCCATTTGCTACTCGTGCACACTTCATCAAGTGTGTTCCGTTTTACCGTGCATCAACACGAGCTCCGAGGTTCAGCTGGAGTTCGTGGAGGGTGTAGGCCCGGCCTACCGTGCCCGAATCGCGAAGAAGCGTCCATTTACGAGCTTGGAAGATGCTTTTGTGAAGACCAATATTCCTGTCAAGGTTCTTAGACGATTCGATTTCAACACGGATTCGCGTGTGCCCCATCTCGGCCATGGGGTGATACTTCCTTTCGATCAATAGTACCTGTAATTCTGAATTATGAGTCTGTCAAAAATCTGTTGGAGATATTATTTTGGCATTAATGAAGTTTTGCTTGGTGCTTCTTGAATTGCATGCGTAGTCCTTACAGGAATCCTTCGTATGTTTGTTTCCACAGTGTGTGCAGGTGTTCATCTCCACATATTTGATTTTACGATGAGCGCGCTCGATCTCTTGCGGCTTTAACTGTTCCTTAGGTAATTTATCCAATCCGAACTTCTTTCGCATCCAAACAAGCAAGTGTCTCCGCATTTCTGTTCTCGATATTTCCGCCCCTTCTTCGTGTGCTACATTTCCCATAGCGAATCCGTAGCTGTTATTATTATAGCAGTCTCGCGAAATTCATTGCTTCTATCAATAAATGACTGTGGGGCAAATGCCGTCACCTTCTTGCTTGCGTATTTTTCTTTGAGCTCGATATACTTTGAGCGGCATCGATGCAAGAACGTAGCGAACTCTTGATCTTATACTTTCTGCTCAAGTTCCACATCGACTTCGTCATCGGAGACTTGCTTGCCAAATTTAACAATCATCAGACGACGAACAATTTCGCCAGCTTCGTCTGTGTAGTTCGGCATATGATTCGAGTTGAGGCGAGTTGGAATATTCCAATCTAGCACTTCAATGGAGCCTTTCCCTTTGACGGGGCGCGAAATTGAACCGCGAGTCAGCATTGATAAGAAATAAGCGCCTTAGCGATGTTATGAGGCATCTCATCGCAGCAAAATGGTCTGCTTCGTGACGCAGGCCAAATTTTTCTTGCATTGAGTTACTAAGAAGTCCAATACGATTATGCTGACGGCAAAGACGTGCTAAGCGAAAAATGGTTCAATGGCGGTGTAGGCGGTGAATCAACCACCACTTTTGTGCGATCGATTCATGCGTAGAACGGAGAACAAGATATGTTTTCTCTTGAAACGAAGTATCACCCCATGGCCAAGATGAGGCTAACGCGAATCCGTGTTGAATTTGAATCGTCTAAGAACCTTGACTGGAATCTTGGTCTTCACAAAAGCATCTTCCAAGCTCGTAAATGGACGCTTCTTCGCGATTCGGGCACGGTAGGCCGGGCCTACACCCTCCACGAACTCCAGTTGGACCTCGGAGCTCGTGTTGATGCACGGTAACGGAACAGACTTGATGAAGAATGCACGAGCAGCAAATGGACCGTAGTACGCTTCCCAGCAGGTGGCATCAACAAACGCGGAATTCGGCAGCAAACATAGGTCAGCCGTCACTAGACTCGTGCAATATAAGATGAATAGGTCGTCGGGACCAGCAGCCTTCAACCGCTCTTGCTCGAAAACGTCCAGTGATAGATTCCCTTCGGCGCATTTACACTGATGAACCTCGTGAAAGAAGCCCTTCGTCGCATCTTCGAGACACAGAAATGCATCTCCGGATGGAGACCCGTCTGCAGGCTGATACAGAAAGCACTTCCCTTGATCATTACCGCTAGAGCACCTTTCTTTCTTAAATCCTTTGGTCTTCGTTGGCATCCACTTGTCAGCAAGCGCATACGTCAATTGCCGCTCAATAACGCGTCGATTGCATCCACCGCCCCATAATGTATATCCGTCTCGATTGATTTGCTGTCACACGGGTCACGTTTGCTGTTTCAGCGTTCGTCTTCGATCGTCCTTGTCTTTAATTGGTCGATTCGTTTAGCGTTGTGTAGTTTTATGTAACGTTTGTGTCAGTTTGATGTACCAGCTGTCTAACGTTATTTCGTTAGTGCGCCTCGCGTAGAAGGGATGGTGGCGCGGAAATGGTTCCAGCTCGTAGGCGAAGATGGGAACGCGGTGACGTCGACTGATGCTGTTATCGTGGATATCGAAGATGTTGTTGCGTTCCGAAAGGCAGTGAAGAAAGAGTTCAGAGACAGTCACCTCGCAGGGATTGCTGCGTCCGATCTCACAGTCTTTGCGAACCGTGCGGAGTACGATGCGAAGCGAAACGTGCTGCTGCCCCAGCCGTGGTCCCCAGTGACGGCGTATGGGAATAATGGAGAGAATGCGCTCATTGTGCAAGTGCCGACGCAGCGTCAAGCGGTGGTGCCGACGGAATCGCAGCAATCGTTCGTTTGGAAGGAGCCAAAGTCGTTGGTCGCAACGACTGGTGCGACATGGGATTTCCAGAATTCATTGGATCTCGGCAACCTAGCATCTGCTATCGGTCGTCATTATCAAGCTTGGAGAGATGGAAAGACGGACAAGCGAAGTCATCCGCTATTCGTGTGCTTAGATGGCCCCGGAACTGGAAAGTCGAGATTGCTTGACGAATTTCCCAACGTCTTGCAGCAGCGAATCTTTCGTGATGAGACACAAGGCGATCCAGCGATGAAGCAGCTCTTGCAGACAGCCTACAATTTCAAGATTACGTTTGAAAATGGAACAACCGACAACTATGGCATATCCGATCCGAGAAAAATGATTGGAACTCGAATGCTATACCAGCTGCAGGAGTCGGATTGGACGATGTTTAATGCGAACCCAGTTAATCAGGTGTTTCCTGCAGAAGAACTGACGAAATTGTCGGCAATCACCGAAACGGATTCGAACCGAATGTGCGTGATTCTCTGTGTCGATAGCTTGCAAAAGCTTCAGCATGAACCAGGAAGCAAGCGTTCCGAGTTTTATACGGCGTTTGCGTCGCTGTGTGACCTCGTCAATGCCTCCAAGTGCTGGCTGATTGTGATCTGCGCGGCGACTATTTCCCAGCCAGTGGATGAATTTCTGGCCGCTTCGCCACAATGGAGAGAGATGCTGCAGACGACATCATTGAAGCGCCCGAAGATCAACGGTAGAGACGTATTTGATACATTCGACTATGGCAATGGAGCTTTGACGCAGCTATTGGTGGATGACATGGGCGGGCATGGCAGAGCATTGGAAGAATTGTTCAACGTGATGCTGCAAAATGAGGGGCAAGCTTTTGAATTCATTCCGGTGATGCACAAAGTGCTGGCTGCAATTCGACAAGCGTACCCTGCGATTGTTGCCCAGATGCAGAGTATGAAGCAAGCATTTCTTGCGGTGATTTCTCGTCGGAGGGTCGATGGAAATTCGCTTTTCGGAAATCTAACGCTTGATCAAGTTATCTCGTGCGGGTTGATCCGACTCGATGGAACCCAACTCCAATGCCCGTTCATTCTCTATATGCTGCTGGAAACGCATGATATTCCATGGAGCAAACATGCTACTTACGCACCGGCAGAACGGTTGGAAGACTTGAAACCTTGGCAACTTTGGGAGCATTTTAACTGCAAGTTCCGAGTGTTGAAATCGCAAGCTTTCGCCCAGGAGGAGCCTGTGCTGTGGACGGATATACATCATGGGGCACGGTTTGGCGATGGATGCAATCGACGCGTTATTGAGCGGCAATTGACGTATGCGCTAGCTGACAAGCGGATGCCAACGAAGACCAAAGGATTTAAGAAAGAAAAGTGCGCTTGCGATAATGATCAAGAGAAGTGTTTTCTGTATCAGCCTGCAAGACGGGTCTCCATCCGGAGATGGCATTTTCTGTGTCTGAGAGGTGGCGACGAAAGGGCTTTCTTTCACGAGTTACATGCAGTGTAAATGGCGTGGAAGAGGAATCTATCACTGGCGTTTTCGAGCAAGAACAGTAGAAGGCTGCTGGTACAGACGACCTATTCATCTTATATTGCACGAGTCTAGTGACGGCTGACCTATGTTTGCTGCCGAACTCCGCGTTTGTTGATGCCACCTGCTGGGAAGCGTACTACGGGTCCATTTGCTGCTCGTGCATTCTTCATCAAGTCTGTTCCGTTACCGTGCATCAACACGAGCTCCGAGGTCCAACTGGAGTTCGTGGAGGGTGTAGGCCCGGCCTACCGTGCCCGAATCGCGAAGAAGCGTCCATTTACGAGCTTGGAAGATGCTTTTGTGAAGACCAAGATTCCAGTCAAGGTTCTTAGACGATTCAAATTCAACACGGATTCGCGTTAGCCTCATCTTGGCCATGGGGTGATACTTCCTTTCAAGAGAAAACATATCTCGTTCTCCGTTCTACGCATGAATCGATCGCACAAAGGTGGTGGTTGATTCACCGCCTACACCGCCATTGAACCATTTTTCGCTTAGCACGTCTTTGCCGTCAGCATAATCGTATCGGACTTCTTAGTAACTCAATGCAAGAAAAATTTGGCCTGCGTCACGAAGCAGACCATTTTGCTGCGATGAGATGCCTCATAACATCGCTAAGTCGCTTCTTCGATCATATTTCTTATCAATGCTGACTCGCGGTTCAATTTCGTGCCCCGTCAAAGGGAAAGGCTCCATTGAAGTGCTAGATTGGAATATTCCAACTCGCCTCAACTCGAATCATATGCCGAATCGTCCTTGTCTTTAATTGGTCGATTCGTTTAGCGTTGTGTAGTTCTATGTAAAGTTTGTGTCAATTTGATGTACCAGCTGTCCCACGTTACTTCGTTAGTGCGCCTCGCGAAGAAGGGATGGCGGCGCGAAAATGGTTCCTGCTCGTGGGCGGGAACGGCAAGGATCTCACATCGACGACTTCTGTAGGTGTGGATGTTGAAGATGTGGATACGTTCCGAAAGGCAGTGAAGAAAGAGTGTCCGAGCGCTCTCGCGAACGTCGATGCTGTCGACCTCGCAGTCTTTGCGAACCGGGCGGAGTACGATGCGAAGCGAAACGTGCTGCTGCCCCAGTCGGGGTCCCTAGTGACGGCGTATGGGAATACTGGAGAGAATGCGCTCATTGTGCAAGTGCCGAAGCACGCAGAAAGCGATTCACGTTATTTTATCCAGCCAAACGTTCAAGAACAAGTCGAAAAGGCAGTATTTGTGATCGTGGAAGAAGACGGAGAACGCAACGGTGTTGGAATGGGTGTGTTTTTCAGCTCGACTCTAGCGGTGACATGCGACCATAACCTAACGGAGCAACACACTGTGGGAAGCATGGCGTCTCTGGCGTTGAAGGAAGGTATTGAAGGTGTTGAAGTTGTTGCTCGCAGTTTCTCAGCTGGACTTTGCGATTCTGAAGTCGTCCAAACCCAGATCATTCTTCATTCCTCCATGGAATGGAAGACCAGATGAACTAAGAGGACGCTATGATCTTGTGTTGGCATCGTATCGATTCGGTATTGACGAATACCAAGACGTGTTTAAGAATCAACTGGGATTTGCTCCGGTAGCCGGCATCTCCATCAGTGCTTACAGAAGACACATCATGTATTCGTGCCCAACGTACGCTGGAGATTCTGGTGCTGCACTTCTTCTCAAGGATGGATTTCTTGTCGGTATCCATCTGGAAACGATCAATGCACTCCGCAAAGAGATGGACCGCAAGAAAACCATCAAGGATCGCTTGAATGATGTGGAGGAGTCTCTGGACAACATTGCGAGAAGCGGACTAGCGCAAGGCTGCTCTTTTGGTCTTTTGGCTCATGAGTTCAAGGACGTAGTGAGCGAGTTGTGCGAATTGACGAGTTCATAGATTAATGGCACATCGCAGTCACAAAAAGCGGGTGTCACAACGAATGTTACATCCTCGGTGGCCAAAAGCGGAGGGTGCCGTCGCGATCTCACATTTACCGATATACCATGAATTCATGATCTGATTGGACAAAAACAATCATGAATTCATGAACGAAACCACCCCGTAAAGCCGGTATTGTACCGACAAAAAAAAGCGACCACCTTCATTCTAGTTATCAGAAGCAACATGTTCCAGTTACGAAACACTTCTACACTGAGCTATATAGATTGATCTAGTGTTGCTATCACGGCTTCTAATGAAAAGAAAGATGGACATAATAGCTGGACGCAAGCCGGACACAATGCCTCTCACAACAATGAGCTTCATCATCGAAGTGTATCAAAACATAGCAATACCCCCCCCCGTTTCGGTACAGGATACAAAATAATTCACACATGGACACTTCGATGATGTCGATTCCGCTAATGTGTCGAACTCATACAATATTTAGCGATGACACTATAAACCGATGAGTCCGCTAATGTGTCGTCTGCTGAATATTCCTGAGTACGACATCATAAAAAATGATGAACCACTGATAGTTAGCGCGCAATTGCTCAAGACTTGGTATTTCCACCATATAAACCTTGGCTGGAGAAGTATTCTTGGTAATGCGATTTAAGTCATCCAGAGTAAGTTTTGACTCAACAATGACTTATGGCTTTGATTTAGGAGTTGGCCATGTGTAGTATTTCTCATCAATGCAAATTGGCTCTGGCTCGTGCGTTTCAAAATATTCAACATTCATTGCTTGTGTATATTAGAACAAATTAAGTTTGTATTACATCTTGAGCTCGCAACAGTCGGAACCTATCATAACGCGCTCTCCATATTTGAATGGATGCTCACGACAAAGCATTTGATCGACCTGTAAAACAAACACATTCTCGTCTAAATCATAGCAAATGAAATAACACCAGAAAGCTTCTCCTTGACCAACCACCTTCACAAAGAACCTGTCATAATTCCCGTATTCGTCGATGATCTTGTAATCCAAGCTTGTGAGATCCATCTCTATATAGCTCCAACAAAAATTATTACTAAACTGTAGAGAGCTTATAGAATCCATTTACTTAATTGTGCTGTAGATAGTACAGCCACAGGACGCAATACTGC